TTTCTCACCAAAACTGAAGTTGATCCGATGGAAACTGCTGTCCACAGCAGAAATCTGCTGTTTACAGCAGAAAAACAGCAAATTGACAAGGAAATCTGATAGAAAACGAAGAAAAACTCTTGTATTTCACTAGTAGATGAATAAAACAGCAAAGATACAATTGATCCTCAATTCGAGAGGAGGATCGATCTCTCCCAAATCTCTAGACGCCGCTAGAGCCCAAAGAAACCCTAAATCTACGAGATCTCAAATTTCAGCCAAATTCAAGATGCTCAAACCATTGGAAAATCTACTATTTAATGCATACAAATCAAAAGGAAATCCCTAAACAGTCCCTACATTCAAATTTCCCTCTCAAAACGCTAAAAAACGCTTCCTAAAATGATCTCTTCGGCTGGTCGGGCCGCTCGATCTCTGCAGGAGGCGGAGATCGGTCGCTCTTTGCGACTTGCCGGTCCTGTGCGGACTGGCTGGACCGGTCCAGTGGACCGGTCTAACAACTACCAAGTTTTTAAACTTATGTGTAGATTTTGCATGATAATTATGTTCTCTGTCCAGTAAGCAATTCTTACTGTTTAATAATTTATCTTTGGTAATTTTTCTGTTGCCAAAGTTTACTAGTGTTCAACTATGAGGGTTTTTAAACTTAAGTATAGATTTGTCTGATAATTATGTTATCTGTCCAGATAAGTTTGCTTGACCGAACAGAACTCCAGCAGAGGATTAAAATGTTCTGTGCAAGTCGTACTTCGCCTGAGCATTGGCTCAATAACCAGCCCCCAAAAAGAGTTGAAATTCAAAAAGCTCTTGGAAACCACCTTGTGTGGAAAGACAGGTGAGAATTACAATTTCATTGTTCTTTACTTATAATGATGCTATGAAATTTGGGCATCATTTATTTAATAAATATGTCAGTTACATTTATTTAGCCTGATCAATAATATGCTTCAAGATTCTTCATCCACTACTTTCAAGCAATCTCTTTACATTTATTTAGCCTGATCAATAATATGCTTCAAGATTCTTCATCCACTACTTTCAAGCAATCTCTTAAGACTTTGAAAGTTATGTTCCGAGTACTTAACAATTGCGGTTAATTGGATTTTATTATTTTCTGGATTAGCATGCAAAGAATTGTTATAGCTTGTAATATAACTCAGGTTTTGGCATATATTATAAGTTCACTTAGCAGATACGGTCTTCAACAGTAGGTTAACATTTATAAGTTTCTGTTACCATCTACTTCAGGTTTATCCTTTGAAAGCCTAATATCCACTTTTCTAAATTCCAAAGTCTAACTTTCTTTTTCTTTTCCACCATTATTCTATCAATTTCTCAAAGCTTGCCTCCTGGATATCCGTTCTTGTTGCAAGAGACCCAACACATTTATATGAAAAAGTAGGAATTTTGCCATCACTTATCGTTCAATCAGTTTAGTCTGCTGAAATAACCTGTTCGTTTCAGTCTATAGAGATCATAATAAAGTGTCAGCTTTGAGGAAATATAGGGGATTTTGGATGGTGATCACACTGGACCAGATTATCTTACTTTTGAGCTCTTCTGTTCAGCATAGATGGTAACATGACTGAATCGATAATTGGTTATGATATTCTGTGCTAGAAAAGCTTTACTAGCTTTAATGTGTGCAAATTAAAAATGCTGTGCGTCTTATAAAATTTTCAAAATGTTGGTTTTCGGTGGAGGCTATCATGCTCCATTACAAAAACACACATGTGTGCAAATTAAAAGCTTGCATGCCATTTGAAAGAAAAGTCAAAACTTCTGTATGTATTCCAGCCACATGCATCATTCTCTTTATTTTAACATCTGAGAATGTTGTATTGGTTAAAATAATGAATGAAATTTGTATTCATCTAAACAATTTGAAGTTTCAAACAATGCACTATGATTCCTATTTTTCGAAATAAACATTGGACTGAAATATGCAAAAAATATTTTATTTATGTTTGCATCAAGCCTTCATTATCTTTTAAGAAGAAAATTCATTATAAAAATACAAACTCGCAAGTTCACCATTCATATGATAACTCACAAAGTTAATATTCTAGCTCGTTCATCTATTAGCTAGTAGACAGAGTTGGCATGGTTCAAATGACAAAAATAAAATATTCAAATACCTCGATGATGATTGTTGAAAGCAAATATCAAGTGGAGGGAACTGCATCTTTCAAAATGTTGGGTCAACTACCCAGTTTTAATCCTTGCTTATGAAGTTAATTTCTAGTTCAAATTGCTTTATAGCTTGCTTTCTTGGATTCACACGTGTTAGATCTTTGCATGCATTGAACTTGAAAACATGTATCACAATTCATTTCTCATTCACGTTTTTCCTCCCCATTGCTTGTCAGTAAATTTTTAGATGCGATTGTTTATTTTGCATGTAGATTTTGATACCATTCTTTATCACTGTCTGAAGTGCATGGTGCTATAGGCATTCCTAATGGCTTCACTAAGAGCTCTCTCGGGTTATAAACGTAAACCAAGCACTTATCATCTCAAACCTAAAATTCTCTCAAATAAATTTAAACTTTTTTCCGATAGACTTTCCTAAAGAAGATTGACAGGTCACTGGTGGAATTGGAAGTGCACTGCTCTTGAGGGAATCTTAGTAGCAAAATACTGACGATAAGAGAGGAGTTTGGTCTTGCAATATTAGCATTCATCGTCGGGCTAGCTAAGTGGTGCTAGAGCACAAACACAAACACCTAGTAAGTAGCAACCTGTTTAAAGATTATAATATGACCGACATCTATGGGCTCTATCCCTATTTTTGGATGGTTAGTTGCTCTGTAAGTTTGGGAACAAAGATTCATTGCATGGATGAATGGTTCTTCTGCCACATGGACCATATCACTGTTGGTGCAAGTTAGGATGAGTGTTTCTTCATAGCATTTGTTTCAATCGTTTGAAACTTCAGCATTGCGGGAGTGAGGAACTCCTGGTGTAAATTCTTGGTTTAGATATTATTTTCAGATATCCTTTATTCTACCTGCTTTAATCATTTTTATATTTATTATAGACCCATAATCATGGTGTTTGTTTAACCTACTTGGGTAATTCTATGGCATGGCATTCAATATAATAACCTTTGCCTACCTTTTTTTACAAGCTACACTGAGTTCTATTTCCTTTTAAGGTATGGCAATGGATTTATGTTACCCACCTGGTTATAAATATCTTATTATCTCCAGTTGATGGTTTTTTTGTTAATTCCTTGGGTTCTTACTTGCATGTTATTTCCATGGCATTTGCAGGTACCCTCCTTTTTTTGATGATATTGCTGCACGACTGGTCCCTGTGATTCCACTAATCATTTATAGGTTAATTGAAAATGATGCTACTGATATTGCTGAAAGAGTTCTGGCATTATATTCTTCACTTCTCATCTTCCACCCACTAAGATTTACTTTTGTTCGCGATATCCTTGCATATTTTTATGGTCATCTCCCAAGCAAGCTTATTGTTCGCATACTCAAAGTTCTCGACATTTCAAAGGTCATTATGGCTTCATTTCCTAATATCAACTTTTGTTCTCTCTGCATGTTCCTTTTTTTTTTTTTTTTATTGACTTCAAACTTTTCTTCAGATTCCGTTGTCAGAGTCATTTCCTCAATATGTTTCATCAAATCCACCTATCTGCCCACCCGTGGACTACTTTGCTACTCTGTTAGTAGGCTTGGTGAATGGTGTTATTTCTCCATTAAACAGTAAATCAAAATCTGAGACAGCGAGTGAGCCTTCTGGCATTTCTGGCCGTCCAACAATAAGCAAAAGTCAAGCATCTCCTCAGTCAGCATCAGCCAACAATGCTGATGGGCAGAAAGCATTTTACCAAAATCAGGATCCAGGGACGTATACACAGCTTGTCCTGGAAACTGCAACCATTGAAATACTTTCACTTCCAGCAACAGCATCCCATATAGTATCTTCACTAGTTCAAATTGTTGTTAATGTACAGCCCTCACTAATTCAGTCTACCAATGGCCTGCAAGGGCTGTCAGGGGGGTCTGGGCAGACTTCTGGTCTCCCAACATCTCCATCGGCCGGAGGGTCCGAATCATCTGGGCCAAATCGTTCAGCTCCAGCACCTGGAATAAATGCTACCAATTTTGTTTCCAAAAGTGGTTACTCATGCCAACAATTGTCTTGTTTAATGATTCAAGCATGTGGGCTTCTATTAGCCCAGCTCCCACCTGAATTTCACTTGCAACTCTATTCGGAGGCTTCTCGTATAATTAAAGAATGTTGGTGGCTTACTGATGGCATGAGGTCAATTAAGGAGCTGGATTCAGCTGTTAGTTATGCTTTGGTGGATCCATCATGGGCTTCTCAAGATAACACCTCAACCGCCATAGGTATAACTTGTGCAGTTTGTTCTTTTTGTGTAATCACTTTGTTGTTAAAGAAGTCCAGAACCATTCAAATCCACCATGAATACTTAAATCAAGAAACCTATATGGTTATCTTAGAAAGCTTTTAGCTACACTTGACCAAGTCAATGACCATGCAAAGGACCCTATGATGAAATTTTGCTAGCATACTAGCCTCTTGTTAGTTTTTGGCTCATCACAGGCATGTCATTTAAAATACATCATATTAAATGGTCATGGTTTAAAAACTGGTGCATATGTTGATGGCTTATATTCTGTATACATTTAGGACCCTAGGACATAATTATATTATTCAACAGCATTAGTAGATGTTGGCGTAATCAATTTTGTATGGAAAAGGATTGGCTTAAGTACATTCGCTAAATTTAGGATGGTAATTTTATGCGAGCTTAGCTACCTATTTGTGAGCAAACAAGAAATCTTAGAATTTTAAACCCTTTGTGTTGGCTGTTAGAACAGTTTCTTTAGCTCCACAAATTTGAGGATCTTTCAGCAAAAGATATGACACCACTAATTGTTTCTTGAGATCTAGCTTGAATTTTTTATCACAATAAAGTGCCTAACGTGGGAATGTCACGACAGGTTAAGGTATAATTTTTAAAGAATACCCTCATCGCTTCTAGCAGAGGACATAAAGGTTCTAGTCCATGATCTAAAGCCTCGATATCACATTCTGATCTATGATAAGGCTTGACACAGAAATATGGAGTTTGCACATTAAAACCAAGATACACACTGGTTATTATTTTTTTTTTAATGGAGACCTGACAACATTATGGTGGACTATAGTATATATATTTGAGTAAATTAGTGGTGATTCTTAGAATTTGGGACAACTCGCTGAACAAAAGAAGATTGATCTTGCCATCTCAATCACTTGAGCTGATCACAGGGAAATCCTAGTGGGGAATTTATAAACTAATAAGGTGAATCATTTAGTTTGGGGTAATTTGAAGACATTGAAGTTCCTTCCCAATTTAAATTTGCAGTTTAGCTTAGCCACGAAACTATGAATTGCTTGACCAAGGAGAATAATCCAATCAATAGTTCAAATTTTTAATAACAGTTGAAAGTTTCAAATATATAAATGGGATGAACTTTATCCTGCTAGAAGGAGAATCATCATTTTCGTGTCATTTAGTTTTTTGGTGTCACAAACTTTAAATATAAGATCAACATAACTCATTTTTCTTCATGTTTATTAAGACTATAGGCTTATGTGGCTTTAATCATTTTTAAGATGTTTGATCATCATTTATATGCACCAAAATTTTCTCATTGGATGATTATAATTACATGAGAGAATAATTGTTACTTCTAATTGTAGAGATTTTCAAATGTTTTAGGATAAAAAACGTGGGTTATTAATGATATTTTGTATGTATTGAAGAATATTTATTGCGAAAAGTCCAGGTAAAAGTAAATTTTTAATGTGATGTTGATTTTGAAGGTTTATATAGTGTTATATGTAAAGCTATAATTCGGAGAAGAATAGTACATCTTTCAGTGTGTGTGTGTATATATATATATATATATTCACACAATCATATTATGCATGGTGTCAGATAAAGTTTTATAAATGGGTTAATGAAAAGATTCACGACGCCTCTAAAGCCATGTAGTGAGATTGCTACCATGTGGTCATAACCCATGCCATTGTTTTGTTGTATAATAATATATAACCGTGTGATCCAAATCTGTCTAATTGTTCCTTTTCGAATTATTTGTGATAACTAAAACTAGTGCTTCTCAATTGCTTTGTTCCAGGAAATATAGTTGCCCTTCTGCATTCTTTCTTTAGTAATCTTCCACATGAGTGGCTAGAATCCACACACACTATCATCAAACATCTTCGTCCTGTGACATCAATTGGAATGATGAGAATAGCATTCCGTATAATGAGCCCATTGCTGCCACGTCTTGCCTTTGCCCGCCCACTTTTCATGAAGGTATGCTAATTTCTATGAAGAGTTTATTTTTCTGCCAAACTAATTGATATGGTTTCACTTGCGTAACCTTTTTATTTTGGAAGTTGAGTTTAAAACTATGCAGAAGATCATCAACAAACACAGATTCACTAAGCATGCTTCATTTAAATCAACTTTGCTGGTTTAAACAAGTACTATGTTGGATATTACTGTTCTCATCCTGCATATTTTTTTCCATTGATTTATTTGAAAGTAGAAACAATACAACTCTCATGTATTGTAGCTAGAACAGTTTAGATATAACTTTGCACTAGTAATCTTTGAGTTTACCTATGTTTCTTTAATCCTATGTTAACTTACAGTTCACCACATGCTGTATGTCCATGCTAGTTACTGTTGTTATTTTCCATGAATTTTTCCTTCGTCTTAAAGTAAATGACCGGTTCACTCATTGATATTCCTTCTATTAACTTGAAAATGCAGTTCTTGCGATTCTTAATTTATTAAATGATGCTTCTTCTTGATTTTTTTATTTTTTTTTTATTTTTTTTTTTTTTTGAAATTTTTTTTTTTTTTTTTTTTTTTTTTTTTTTTGAAATTTTGGTAATCCCAGGTATGATTCTTGCTCAATCTTACAAATTATGTTACAAGTACGGGGATATTTGTTAAAAGGTTCCCCGTTCATTAGCGAAGAGCAACTAGGCCCCCCCTTATTTTAAAATTCACTGGATGTGCTCCTTAAGCTCCCTGGTGGTAAGCAACTACATCCTTCTCAAGGATTATCTGTTAGAATGGAGCAATTTAATTGTCATGAACCAAATTAACTTTTGGCTATAAGAGAGAGAGAGAGAGAGAGAGAGAGAGAGAGAGAGAGAGAGTGGAAAATGATATGAGGGAAGGAGAAACTAGGGAAGGGATGAAATAAATCTTGAATGAGAGAACTAGAGTTAAATAGATGGAAGGAGATCAATGATGAATGGTGATATAAAGTTATAGATAATTAGATGGGGAAACGAGTAAGCATTAGCAACAACATCAAGCCCTTATCCCACTACTTGGGGTCGGCTACATGAATCATTTTTCTCCATTGTCTTATTTAGCAAAAAACTTTCATTTAAATCTAATTAAAAAAAGGTTACTTCTAATGCTTTCTAACCAAGTTTCTTAAGTCTTCCTCTACCTTTTTAACATAGGTCAAATATAATGCATCTACTCTCCTAACCAAGTCATCGAAAGGCCAACATTTTATGTGACCAAACCATTTGAGGTGACTCTCTATTCTTATCTAACATTAGAGCTGCTCCAACTTTTTCACATATATACTTGTTTCGCATTATTTCTTTAAGTGTAAAGCCACTCATTCACCTAAGCATCCTCATCTCTGCAACATTTAACTAAATTTTATATTTATCTTTTAGTTGTTGTTTTGTTGGCTGAAAAAAAAAAGCAATATAAAGAATTGCGGTGTAAAAATTATTGTAGTGTATTTCAAATACTTTGGAACTATTTGGATGAGTGTAAAATAAATGTGATTTTTTTTTTCTCAAGTAAAATGAATGCTGTGTAAAGCATGATTAGTGGCAGGCAGTAGTGGCTAGCTATGACGACTGACGGTGGCAGGCAATGAAGTTCTAGTATATTTGAAAATCCTCCAAATTGGAGGAACTCCAATTACATTAAAAATGAATTATATGGTGAATTTCAAACACACCAAAATCTTATTAAGGGTATATTTAAATTTAAAACTTGGCTATTCTCATCTAGGGGTGTCCTTCCAACTTGATGTTTTCGAACAACTTGTGTTCAACTGTTGACCTTCATGTTATACCCAAGAGATCAAAAGAGGGAATAAAGCTCAAAATCCAGAATACATACCTCACGTCCATGGGATCCAGGAATCCTGTAGAAATCGCGGCCTGCTACAGTACCTAGCTCTGCAAACGGCGCCGAATCGATCTCTTCCCGCAAATCCTGCTATATCGGCGTCGCTCCCGTCTCTTCCCGTGAATCCCGCGATGACAGCCTCGATCGCCCCTCTCCAGCTTCTATAAAAGCCAACCGATTGGGCTCTCACAGGGCACGACTCTTCTCCCGTTCGCTACCCACGAGCTCCCGTCGCTGCTTTCTCGATCCCGTCGCTGCTGCCCTTCTCTGATCCCACAAGCCGAGAGCAACGAGCAGCTCCCTCTTCTCATACGAACACCACCCGATCTCCTCTGCCCTTGTCGTGTCCGTCCAACCTCCGGCAGAGAGAAGCCGAGAGAGAGAGAGAGAGACCTACCTCATTCGATGACTTTCCCTGCTGGTCCGATCGGAAGAAGCAACCGGAGCTCACTGGCATGAAGTTAACATTCTCCCTTTGACGCCGCTACCCCGACTCCACTTCTCTGGACGGGTCCCTTCTGCCTGCTCGATCGGAAGTTATAACATTTTTTATCGGAAGCAAGCACAATAGCTCAAAGGCTGTGAAGGTAACTTTGCTCCCTTTCACGTGCTTCTCGGCCAAATCCCTTTGAATCCACCGAAACAATGGATTAATTTTATTATTATTATAAATAATTTAATTATAATTATATTAATTAAATATAATTAATTACAATTATTATTTTTAATTAATCAGAATTTATAAATTAATTATTATTAGTTAATATTAATTAATTATATTTTATTAAAAGTAATTAATATTAATTAAGTTATAATTGATTCTAAATTAGTTATAACTTATTATATTAATTAATCTTAATAATTTTAATTAATTATTTTAATTAATGATAATTAATAAAAAAATGAATGATTAATTAAGAATAATTATTTAATTAACCTTATTTATTTAATGTTAATTATAATTAATAAAAGAAAAAAATACATCTCCCTTGATCCTCGAACCGACACCGCCAACCCTGCGAAGGTACGGACTTTCTAAACTCAGATTCTCGATTTCGTTGTGTGCGGCGGACCGGAAAACCGCCTATACACGCCTTTATTGCGCATGGTGGGATGGGACCCCGGTCCGACGCCTACGACGAGGCAGAAATCACCTAAACTCTACTTCAGCGTTTGTGGCGCACCGGAAAACCGCCTATACACGCCTTTATTGCGCTTGGTGGGAAGGGACCCCGGTGCGGCACTTACGGCGCGACGGGATCACTTATAAGTACCCCCGAGCTTGGGGAAAGCAAATTGTGTCTTTTAAACAGGTACAGTCGAAGACCCCATACACGCCTTTATTGCGCGTGGTGGGAGAAA